GGGGGAGGTGTGGGGGGACCTTTCTAAATAGAGCTGGACCCACCTGCACTCTGTAGAATACAAAGGCAAGAGACCCAGAGACCTGGGCAGGGCGCTGGGCTAAAGGGCCCCACTGGCACTCTTGGGGGCTGAACGAAAGAATGCGAGAGCAGATGGATGCGAGAGAGCTTACAGGAGCAAGGAAGTCATCACCATCGCCATGTGCTTCCTCCTCCAGACCACCAGCGCCACTTTCTCTAGTGTCCTTCACCGCCTCTATCAAGAAAACTAAAACAACCACACATAACCGCTTCAAAAGGAAGGGTTCGGGACCTTGGCTTGGAGAGGCTGGTTTTAAGCAAATCTGGCTCACCCCTCACCACACCCTAGTCCAGTGGGCCTCTCCCTCAGGACTCCCTAAGAAAGTTGTTTCCTCAGTGATGGCTGTGCCCACAGCCAGGGGGAGGTGAATCCTTCATGACCAGACGTTTACACAGGAAAAGTTTGAGAAGCCTGAGCAGCCTATAAAATGTCAGCTCCCGCTTGTAGCCAAGTGGCTGTACAGCCCATAGCAAGCTCTAGAGAACCTTCCGTTAATTCCTGAGGAAGAAAAAGCACTGCACTCACGGTTTCCTCTTCCTCAGGATGGAGGGATGAAGGCATGAAGACAGGCTGAAGGGCAGGTGGGCAGGTCTCACCACCCAGGCACTGGGAGGCCTTGCCTCCTTTCCACTGCAGCCAGCATTGCAAGATCTGGCACATCAACAGAAGGGACCCAAAACACCCACAGGTAAAGGACAGAGCCCTGGGAGTTGGGATGGGTGACGAGAGGGTGACTGCCATTTCTAGACTTCTGCTCCTTCATCCAGGTTCTTTTTTTTTTTAATATAATAGTTTATTTTTACACCATTTTGTACATGTTTTTTTCATCTCAATTGTAATCCCCATGGGTTTCCCATCACTGAGTCACCCATGTACTATCGCCATAGTCCCATGCACTTCCCTCCCCACCCCCACCCCCCGTTTTTGATCCCATTCCCCACTCCACTCCCACAAAATGTCTCTGGTATATGACTGTTCATTATTCTTACTATTTTCTCGCCTGATTCATTATACTCCTGCTATGAGTGAAACCATCCCATCCAGGTTCTTATTACTACAAATTATACTTGGCAGTGTGTAGGACAGCATTTGCTAGTTGCAACTTGAACTCCTGGCTTCCCAAGGAAAAACTCTCAACCCAGCTGTCCTGCTAGCTCCTCCTTAGAGGCCACAAGCCAAGAAAACTCAGCCTTCTACTCTGTAGGCTCCAACCCAGCCAGTCCCAAGTTCCAAATGCCCTCCCCAAGGGAACTGCTTACAGGGCAGAGGCACTGAGCAAGAAGACAGACTCCAGCCCATGTGAAGCAAGCTGTCCACTCCTGAGAAGTCCCCACCTCCGCCCCACAGCCGGCATGGGCAGGTAAGTAGTGCTTCGCTCTGCTTGCTGTAGGCACTAGACAAAAGAGGGCAGTGGACCATGATCCAGCCCATAAGCTTGTCAGAGATGCAAAGTCTCAGGACCCCACCCAGAACTACTGAATCAAAGATTCTGGGGTGGGGCTTAGAAACCTGTGGCTGCACAAGCCTTTCAGGTGACTTTAGTTTACACCAGGGACTGAGACACACCAGTATAGTAGCTAAGCTTGATTCTGGGGGGAGCCCAGGTTCAGTCCCAGCTCTCTGCTCCCTAGCTCACTGATGAGCTGCACAGGGGAAGTATCAGCACCTACTATCTCGGGTTGCAGTGAACACAACAGGTGTCCTGCATGTCCGTGACACTTAGTCATTTCATTTTGAATGTTACTGGTCTTACTTGGGGCATTTGGGAGAGTGGCTAGATCACATTTAGTATCCTAACAAACTAATATTAAAATGACTCATGTCCCTGGGTACAGCCTGACAGTAGGGGAACCCAGGCTCTCCTGCACCATCTCTTCTGGGTCCCGTGGGCATGTCTGTGGCAGCTATATGTGTAGACTAAAGCCCTCCCCTTATGTTCCTAATGCCGTCAGAACAGAAGCGTGTTTTGTTTCATTCTGTGCCTTAGTTGTTCAACATCCCAGAGAAGAGGTTCCTTGGAACTCTGGTGGGCTATGCTGGTGGCTATACCCACCGCCAGGTCATGCTCTCTGCAGGGGGTTAGGAGTGGGGGATTACAATTTCCACTGCAGATAGAGCTTTGCCTGGACACTTGTTGAATAACACTGAGAGAAGATTAAGGTGTCATTGCAGAAGGTACTCAGAGATCCAGTCACCTTCCACCTGAAGTACTCAGAAGGGAACCTAGGAAAGCAGGAAGACAATAGCCTGGGGTCACCATCTTCCCTGTCATCAGGCTAGTTCCTCACTCTAATTACAGGGAAGACTGCTGAGTCTCATCTTCCCACTGTAGAATGGGATACAAGTATTGCTCTGTATTTGTAGTGCCACACATTCCTTTTGTCATAACCTTAATACTCCTTATGGTTAGAAGTCAGTGAACTGACGTGCTCAAGAACACAGGCTCTGAGGTCAACCAGACATGGGGTTGGCCAACCAGACATGGGGTTGGCCAACCAGCAAATGGCCAGGTAATTCATTTAACCTCTAAGCCTTGTTTTCTCATTTCTGATATGGGTATAGGTGAATGCGTTTGTAATATCTTTGTATAGGTGAATGCACTTGTAATATCTTTTGACTTGTATGTCAGTGCCTGACATACAGCAATAAGTCAACCAGTCAGTATTATAATCTTTATGATAATCTATAATTCTGGAACTACCATGAGAACACAAATCAGAAGTTCAAGAAAATGCAACCTTGGAACTGCCCTGGTGAGCCAGCCTATGAAGCCCGGAATGCTCTCTGTACTCAGGTAACACACACCTTGACCTTGGAGGTAGCAGGTGACTCATCTATCCCTGGATAAAAGGTGGCCAGGACACAAGTCTCCCTTGTCCTAAAGCTCAGAGCATGTTGGCTGTGACAGACACTGACAACCCTTACTAACTGATCCGGACACCTGGCTTTGTAAAGGAGGGTTAAAAAAAAAAAAAAAAGGCTTCCCAGCCCACCTGCACGGTAATAATTGGCCTTAAGTTGTCCCAGAGAAGAGAATGGATGTGTTTTTATTAGTTGCCTCCACCACGGTCACGAAGTGGGAGGAGTCCTCATTATTATCTATGCAGCTGGATCACAGAGAGGTCACATACTCATTCAACTTAATATCAAAGCATATTAGCGCCAAGGTCTTACCTTTGTGAGCATTTAAGCCCACCAATGCCTTTCTGTGAGACCCTGCTGAACACTAAGCTGTAAGAGCTATCTCCTCCCTCTGCGCCTCCAGTCTCACTTGGGGAGATTAGTTTCTGCATTGCTCTAGCACCTGAAGGTAATGAGTCCTGCAGGCGGGACCTACAGCCAATGATAGAAACTTAAGGCTGGGGCACAGAAAAGCAGCAGAATTCTCCCTCTCCCCTCACCCCCCAGCAGCCCCAGCCCCCTAGCAGAGATGTGAGGGAGTGCAAGAGAGCCAAAAGTGCCCACTTCCAGGCTCCCAGGGTTTACCCTGGGGTCAAACCAGTTCAAGTCACCTCCGTGAGAGTTCTTACCATTCAGTTGCCGGTAGACGATGTCCTCTAGCAGCGAGAGGCGCTTCAGAACCGCATCCTGGATGGGGCTGGCGCTGTGCGCGCTGAGGTTCGCTGCCTCCGCGCGCGGCCGAATCTCGTGGAAGGTGTCTCCGCCGCGCACCGCTATGGGCCGGCACTTGGCCAGGAAGATCACGAACCCGGCCACAGCAATCAAGTTCAACACCAGCAGCACTTTGACTCTTCTCAGTGAAGCCATCAAACACACCCGACTGGCCCTCGCCTCGGACCTGCGCCTCTCGGGCTCCAGCGAGGCGTGGGGCAGCCGGGGGCAGTGCAAGCCTCACACTCCGGACAGCGGGTAAGGCTCTCGGCCGCCCCACAGCGCGATGCTCAGGCAGTGGAGGCTGTTGAGAATACCGGGCGGTTAGGGGGCGAAAGGAACCTCGCACAGGGAAGCCCTGGATCTGCAGAAGCGCTCCCCGAGATGCCTGCTCAGTCCACAGCGCGTGGCCCCTTCCAGGCGCTTCCACTTCTTGGCAAGGGGCCGGAGATCTCTCCTCTACAACAGCAAGTGGCTCGCGCCGACCTGAGCGAGGCCGTGGACTCAGCGGAGCTCCAGGTCCCGCCGGCTGGCGCGCGGAGCTGCCCTGGCGCCGCGGCAGGAGCCGCGCGCAGGTGCCGGGCTCAGGGTTCGCCACCCGCCCGCTTCTGAGCGCGCTGCGCCTCAGGCCACACAACCACCACCCTGGTCCTCGGGCTACCGTCGCGGCACGCGGCCGGCTGTCTTCAGCCAAAGACCCTCACCCCGGTGGACGCCTTTGTTCCGCTCACCGACCCAGTCCGCCACACCGGGCAAAGGAAAAGCCCGCGCCCGGTTCCCGCATCCTCGCGGCTCCGCAGTCACGCTCAAGTCTCAATTATTCTCAAAGTGGGGGCAGCACTAGTGGGCGGCCGCAGGAGACGAGCGCGACGTCCTCTCTACCCCTCGGCTGGGGACACCCTACCCCGCACCAAACTCACCAGCGCGCACAGCGCTGCGGACCGCCAGACACGTTCCAAGTCCCAACAGCACGCAGTGAGCCTTCGGGGCCTGCCGGTCGCACTGGCCTCGCAGAGCTGGTGTGTCGGGAGGCTGGCCGGAAGGAGGAGTCGGACCGCAAAAGTCACAGCAGTTCTCTACCCGCCTCCAAAAACGTCGCGGGGAGCGCCGCGGGGAGGGACGCGCGCCGGCGCACCCTGCGCTCGCCAGAACGGGCTGCGCGGCTCGTCCCGTGCCCAGAGGAGCCAAATGCCAAGTCCCCTAATTGGCGGAGGCAGTGACACCGCCGCTGCGGCACCGAGAGCCCACACAGCCCGGAGGATGGAGAGCCGGGAGGGGACGCGCAGGTGGCGGCGGAGGGCGGGGCGCGGCCCGAGGGGACCGGCTGCAGCGCCAGCTCCTCCTCCGCCGCCCCAGGCCACCCCTCTCCCCGCGAGCTCGTCGGCCGCTGCCGCCCGCTGGCTGACGGGCGCACAGCTCCGCGGCTTGCCAGCTCGTGCGCGCGCACCCGGAAAGGGTGGGGGCGCCTGGAGAGTAAGGACCACGCGGGAGGGGGCCAGTCAAGTCATGTTGGCTGCTGCCGGCTTTGTGGAGGGACCCTTTGGTTTTCAGCACTCCTCGAGCGGACGCGTTTGTTCCATTCTGGTAGGCGAGGAAGACATCCCTTTCTGTGTGCTCGCAGCTCCGCTTTGCGTGGCTCAGAATGGCTAGAGGGAAAATCTGGCCTGGAGACTCGGATTCTGTTACTTTGGGAACCAGGCCAGGCATTAGTGGGCTGGGTGGGTGCTCTCGGTGTGAAAAGTCTAACCGTCCAAGTCACAGTTTCTGTGTCTGCCCATACCTATCCATGATTTTATTGTAAAAAATCTATTTTGACTACAGGAATTCTGTGATCTCTTCTTCTTTCCAAAGCCAGCAGCTCAAAAAGCAGAAATTCGAAGTCCCCTGTTGACCCATTTGGTTCTTTTGGCCTAAAAAACCAGGCTACCAGTTAATAGAGGTCGGTCAATAAAGCCCAATGACCTGGTTTCAACTTCCTTAAAAATTGTTTTCTTTTTACTATTAGGTTTTTGGTTTTGTCTTGTTTTTGTTGCTTTGTATTTTAAGAATTGACTTAGCATAGGAAGGTGCATGAAAAATTAGAAAAAATAAAACAATTTTTAAAATTTCATCCCCTGGATGCAATAGGATCTTTATGTATTTTTGGCTTTGCATAATGTACAAGAAAGTCAGTGCAATGGTTGAATGAAAAGCCGTATCGAAAGCATAAGGGGATGAACTTTAACCATACCTGTCTGGCATGAGAGGGCTTGAGTGGGGGAGAAGCCTGCATATTCCAGCAGTTGCAAAATCTAAGGGTACACCGGGCAGGTTACCACTTACCTCACTGAATATACCATTGAGTTAAGTGTTATCACAACCACATTACTGTTAGAAGTTAACAGTTAAGGAAAGCTACAGGAAAAAATATTTTCTTGAACATTCGTTCAGCTGCAAAACTGACTTGGGCGGTTGAAGCTTTGGGCTAGGGTGTCCCAGCAGTGAGCAGTTCAACCCAGGTGGACTGACTCCAAGCAAATGCATATTTGGGAGTAGGGGACAGGATGCAAATTAGAGGAAATGGCCCAGAGTAAGAGAGAAGTCACCAGGCAAGATTTTAAGAGCTTCCTTGACCCAATACTGGTGATTGTGATCATGCATCCCACATGAATCCTGAACGTCTATCTTCAAAATTGACATCCGACAGTCTAGACTCGTGAGGGACTGTCGTGATCTCAGTCTGAACAGAGGTGCTCTGCTCCTGCAATCATGCACTAACAGCCCACCCTGTGATGCCCTGCCCTAACGTTTTACTTCTTCACACTCAGTTCTAAGCAATTATATTTTCCAACCACCACAGCCACCAGCCAGCAACACTTTTCTCCTTCCCAAGTAGCTAAGCCAAGTATCTACCACCTCCAAAATTCCTTCTCTATGCTTTGTGATTACTCTTGTGTTTGGGTGACTCATTTATTTCAAACACATTCCACAATTCACAAACACTCATAGCCATGTTCTCCCCAGCCCAGCAATCCCACTCTAAATCAATTTCACCATCTTCTTTTTTATATAGGCAAGAAAGTATACCTAGCAAAACCACATCACTTTAAAACTTGGGGGCTTACCAGTTGGTGGTATATTACTTGAGCTGGATTCTCGATTCTGCTCAAACACACTATTCCCTGTCCCTAACCATCTCCTCTCCCCAGAGATAGCTAGAGTAGACTTCAGAAGTTCACAAACACCCCTCTATCACATGCAAACAGTTTGTATATGTGATATGGACATTTTTCTCAGAAAAGATCCATAACTGGTCAGATTCTCAGTGTAGTCAGTGACTCCAGAATTTTAAGGACCTAGCAGTCATGTTAGGTATGCAAAATATTTATTGTATGCCAGCTACTTATGAAATCAGTGTGCCAGAGCACAAAAAGTTGATAGATCTCTCTGGCTACTTACAGATCTTGATGAAAGAAACAAAACCTTGGACTAAGACCAACATAGTTGTATGATTGAGCTGATATACAGGAGCAGAATTGAATAGGATCTGCCTGCAGAGAAATTCTCAGGTTTAAAAGGAGTATACCTTGCCACTTAAGCTGTACAAAGATGAAGAGACTTGTTTAGAGTCCTTTACATCCCGGGAGATGGATGACCTTCCTCAGTCATCAACTGCCATCTGTCTACATACACAGTTTGTCCCAATCCACTCAGTGAAGCCACCTCACTAGCCATGTGGCTTGCTCACTTGGATGTCTGGGTTTTCTTCCACCTACTACCAAGAAATAAATCAGCTTCTGACTTTAAAATAAAAAATGTATCTTACATGGCTCCAAAAATTCTTCTCAATCAAGAAACTCAAACTACAAACGTTTTAAAGAGGGTTTTACTGGTATATTTATTTGTTCAGTAAATTGAAAAGGAGATTGATGTTTTGCAATGCATACATCACCAAGGATGTCGATTCCAAATACATTTTTCACTCATCAACCATAGCTCATGTGACATGCAGCTCTGGCTTGAAGCGGTCATCTTGTTTGCATGTTAAAAATCTCCTACATCTTACCCTGGTCTATCACAGGAGTTTAAAATATTGGACATTCACCAAAGGCAAGCACGGCTTCATATCTCCATTGAGGCTTTGCCAATACACTGAGCATCTTTAACTTTCTTTGCTGGTCCAAACACAGAAGCAGGCACAAAAATGGGGGAAGCAGCCTTAGTTATTGGTCAAGTTTGGACCACAGATTACTGTGGAGACTGTGATTGCGTTTCCCAGACTGGTTGCTGCTGAGGTGCTGGTTAGTGGTCTATGGTCACAAATGGGCTAGCCGTGTTTTGTACATCGTTCAGCCTCTCAGCACTCAAGAAATATCAGTTGCTATGGCTATTAATAAAATTGCCCCAACTGAGAAAAGGCAGCAGTTGGTGGAAACATGAAGCAAAACCAGGCCTGCCTGTCTTGGAGATGTGGCCCCTGTTGGGAACGTCATTGAAGGAGCACGATGCCAGTGCCCTCGGCAACTGGAGGCTCTTCACCACACTCCTCTTGAAAGTCAGGTTCTGCTCAACTTCCCCACTCTCAGAACCTGTCCAAAGTCACAGCCTTGAGGTAGTAAAAGAGTGTTCAGGCCATCTGCACAGCACACATGACCAAATCCAGATAAAGTGTCTATATACATTCTTAAGATAGAGATTCCTTGGTCCACAAGTTGTGATCCAATAACCTATGCACCAAAGCCATATTAATAAACATGTGTGCATAGGCCCAACAAGGTCTTCTCATTACATATCACTGGTTGATGAAGAACAAAGACCCCTATAATGGCAGTGACTCAAGACAAGCTCTACTGGGGAAATTCAGAAGTGGAGTAAGATTTTCTGTGATTACTCACTTTTGCCTGACTTTCCTTGTCTTCTCATGCTCTATAAAGCTATGCTTCCCTTCATCCATTTCTTCTCAACAAGAGATGTAACTTCCTGTACTAGCTTTCTACTGCTACTGTGAAAAATTTGCACAAACTAACAGGTTTCAAACAATCCAAACTTGCCTGACTCCAGGCCCCCACCCCTTCCTCTATCTTGACAACCAACAACACTGTGCTGAGTTCCTAGCATGAGGCCATCTCTCAGGTTTTCCAGCCACAATCAGAGACTCACTCTTTAATGGGACTCACAAGATTACATTATCCCCACCTGGAAAAATCCAGGACAATTTCTCATCTCAGAGTGTTCAGTCTTAATCATATTGGCACAGTTTCTTGCCAGGCCAACTAATATATTCATAGGTTCTGGGAATTAAGATGTTGACATTATTGCAGGAGGAACAATCACAGCCCCATCCTTCATGCCCCCAGGTAACTCCAACTCAAGCAGTTCATGTAAGAGATTTTCTGTAAGAGTATAGTTCATCATCGGAATGCAATGGAGAACAGAAAAGGAAAGCACAATGTTAATCAGCGGGCCTGGAACTCATTGGTCCTCTCCTCTGGTTGGGAATCCCTTAAGTCCTCTTGCTCGTGGGTCCTGACGCTAAGAAGAATCCTGTCACCCATCCTAAGAGCAGTATTAACCAAACCTCCGTCAAATAAACAGTCAGCTAGCTGCCCATCAAAACCTGGAACACAGCTACACTGGTTTACCAAGATTCCCTGTGGTTAGGGAAGGAACTGTTGAGCCAAGGGAATGTGAGCTGAAGTGGTATGTGCCACTTCTGGGTCTACCACTTTAACATAGGGTCTTAGTGTCTTTCAAGCTCCCTTTAGGCCTTTTCTCTGTGGTAGAATCTGAAGACAGCTACTCAGATGGCAAGCCATGAGAGCCAGAAGGAACCTCAAGACAAAGAGGCCCCGAAACACATGGGGAGAAAAATCACCTGCTAACTGGAATCACTTATTCTTTATTACCAAAAAAAAAAAAAAAAGTTATATATTCAAGCCACTGAATTTTGGGGTTCTGTTCATTGTAGCCACTCAGCCTTCCCTAGTAAATATATTTATCAATTTAAAAAAAAATATTTAAATAGCACTGTATTACTATCTACATAACTTTTATTTGAATAAATTCACTTCTTTTCAGTTAGTTACATTTTAGACAAAGTATCCACAAAGTAATCAGCACTTGTTATTAGGTGCTTACTATATGTCATGTTTTTAACATACATGTTTGAACTGATTCAATGTTTTACTCGTGTCACCTTTTTTTTAAAAAAGATTTATTTATTTATTCATACAGAACTGGGGTACAGGCCAGAGATGTGGAGGGTGAGAGGATTCACCAGAGACAGAGTGGGGAACAGAACAGGTAGATACACGAAGTACACTGCTGAGGGGAGCAGCAGGCAGGTCAGGAGAGGTCTGCCTCGCCATGTGGATCACGGATCGCCTCCGGGGCAGGCGGGGATTGAACTCATGCGGAAGTGGCTTAAGCTTCTTAGTGCTGAGCTTTAACCCGCTGCGCCACCAGGGAGGGCCTCGTGTCACCTTTTTAAGTAAGGAGGCAAACTCAAAATTGTAAAAACAGAATGTGTTCGTTCAGGTGTAGCAGAAGAATTGCAACGGGGGACACAAAATCTAGCAAGTTAAAGGAGAGTTTGTTGAGCTTTTGGAGTGGACTATATTTATGGAGGGGAATATAAAGAGGCGAGAGAATTCAGTCAGAGTCTGCGAAAATAAAAACTAAATGGAGGCCAGCCCTGACAATTCCCAGAGCAAACATAACCAGTTTAGTCATACAAACAAATCTCAGTTTAGCCTGTTTTGTGAGACCCATCTCATCTGGGTCATTTCTTGCTTATGTCTCTTGCTTCAGCAT